GGCGACCGGTTCAGGATATTTGTATATATGATCATGTTTTGGCTACACTATGATTTACGCTACTATTTCAGTTTACCAAACCAGCTTTTGATTCGACGTTAGTCGGTTATTATGTTATATATAACCATTTGTTTTTAAAACTAAATAACGGTTTTCAAGATTAGTCATTTTTTACGATAACACTCCGAATCAGTATTTCACAAATTAAATATTTTATTCTATGATTTTGTGAAAACGTGTACTCCGATTTTCATGAAATAGCGGGGTGTTACATGCAAAGGAGTATACCTTTCAAACCTCAGGAGGTTGGACCGATCCTTCGATCAGTTGGTCGTGACAGACAGTCTATCCCATACTTTTTTCCTCTTTCTGCCATTATCGTCACCGGAGTCCCTCATTCTCTTTCTGTCAGAGGTCCCACGCTCATCATCCGCTCTGGACATCTCCTCAGCGTTGATGTACTTTTCAGCCCTACTGAAGAGATCAGGGAGGGATAGAGGTGGTTTTTTTGCCAAGGAAAAAGCGAACCGTGAAGACTTTCGAACCCTATTCATGAGGGCGGCTAAGGCCACGGACTGGTCCAAGTCCTCAATCTCTATTGCCTCTCTATTGAAACGTTGGATAAACTCCCTTAGCGTTTCATTCAACCTCTGACGAACGCCCATAAGATTGGCTGACGCTTTCTTGTACCGTTTGCTGCTAACAAAGTGGTTGAGAAATTCTTGTGCCAATTGTTTGAAAGTATGGATAGAGGCCGCTGGCAGTGAAGAGAACCAAACCCTGGTGCTCTTTCTTAGTGTGGCTGAGAACGCTCGACATTTGATGCCGTCGGTCTCCCCAGAAGCATCATGAGAGCTTGGAAATTCTCAAGGTGGTCACGGGGGTCTGAAGTTCCATCATAATTCTCCATCTGAGGCATCTTGAAGTTAGAGGGAATTTCCTCTTTCATGATGCTATCAACAAAAGGGGACTCGGTGGGTGAGAATATATCCAACATCGGCTTTCTGACTTCTTTCCACACCACTCCGAGCCTTTCATTCATCTCCTCAAGCTTTTGCTTAAGGTCGCCATCCTCAGGTGTGAAATTTCTTCTCCCGAGGTCTTTTTTGGATCTGACCTCGGTTTCATCGTTGGGGGCTTTAGAACCTTCGTCATGGCTGACTTCTCAGTCTTTTCGACCTAGGGATGCTTCTTTTTCCATCATACCCTTAATCAGGGTCTTCAGTTCAAGGAGTTCTTTTTCCACCCTCTGCAGTCGTTCGGCCTCGGTCTCTGAGGTCGCCATATTTTGTGAACTTTGGCCTTGGTTATGGTTAGCCTGAGAGTTTGATTCACTTTCTTGGGATTGATCATGTTGTGAAACGCCTCGCGTCCTTCGACTGGTTTCACCTTTCTTCCGTAT